ACTCCTCTAGGTCTGTCCCTGATCCCCAACTCACTATCTGGCTCCCCGATTTTCTGGAAAAGCTGTGACACTGCGAAGAGACAGAACAGTATTCGGAGGCGCAGGCAACACTGGGTTTGACCCAGTACAGGACACTGGCATCATTTACTCACTTTGCCAGGCACAAGGGATGCTGGTGCTTGGCAGGGCCGATCTCAGATACACGGTGAGGAGGGAAAGCGACTCCCTCTAGGGCATGGTGGCAGGGCTGGTAGCTGCTCCGAAGCTCATGAATGCCTTTGCTGCCTAGCACCTGGGAAAGGTAACACCACAGGAGCGGAGAGATTACTTTCTGCCCCTGCATGGGCTCGCCGTTCCTTTGTGAGTGAGGCACAGAACATGGGCCTGCTTGAACTGTGAAGCCCTCACACAACCATTTGCAGGCTCTCAGAACTAAGGTGCTGGTCCTTTACCAGTATGGCCTCCCTCCACCTGCAGAACCCAACCACCGGCGGCCGCTTCCTTCAAAACTCACCCCCGTTGTTGCTGTGTCCTCTATGAACCTGTTACCTTCCTTGCCTGAGATAAATGACCACGTTTGCATTGGCGGCCTCACAGCACAGAGGATGGCTTCTCATGCTGTGTCTGTAGCCCCTTACTGTGCTGATCTACTTGTGTGTGTGTCTTGCCCTCTAGTGTGGGGTTCTGTGGAGGCAGGGCTGTCCCTACGCATCCATGGGTCTCCAGCAGCTCAGACAGCACAGCCACTGGTGCCCGGTCTCTCTCACTGGCAAGGCGCTCTGAGAAGCTTTGCTGACTGCCTTCCCTCCCTCTATGCAGTCTGCACAAGGAAATGCCATGGCTGCCAGGCTTCTCACCCCTTCCACATGTGGGGGCCATACACCTGCAAATCCTTCAGTTTCTATCCACCCCATTGTGTCAACTCTGCCCACAGATGGTCATGTGCCTGCATGAGTGTGGTAGATAATAAGCTACCAAAGGCTGCTAGGCAATGCCACATGTTTCTGTGGGGCTGAGGGGCAATATCCAGTCAGCTACATCTGGAACAGAGCAGAACTGATAGTGAAAATAGTGAAGACAGGGCCTGGCTGCTATACATGGAAGAGGAAGCCTCAGCTGTTGAGAGATGCAAAGCATGAAAAAAACAAAAACAAACAAAAACAAAAATGGTGGGAGAAGGAGTTAACATGAAAGGAAGAAAGGGCACAAGGAAACAGTGCATCTAAAGCTACAGGTGTGATTACCTCTGTGCCTTGGGCTTCAAGGCCAGGGAAGCTGCACGCTGACCTCACAAGAGACACTACCTTTTTGGCCAGCAGCTTGCCCTCCACAATCTGCTGTCTCAGGGCACTGTAGTCATCCATGTGGCCAATGACATGGCGGCCATGCTTATTGGCAAAGGAGCCATCAGTAGCATCACCCTCCAGCTTGGGAGGGGTCTTCATTACTGGAGAAATATCCAAACCCAAGCCTGAAAAAGAAAATGACAACACAAGAGAATCTTCTGTTATTCATAATGATATCGTCAGTTTACTCCAACTCAAAAGAGGTAGAGAACAAGAAAAGGAAGAGGCTGGGAACAAGAAAGGAAGCCTTGGAATATACAAGGGTGGGGCAAAGTCCATAGAGATCTTCTGGCTTCTATATTTCTATAATGTTGTGAAATATAGGCTTTCACCATGCTGGCCAGGCTGGTCTTGAACTCCTGACCTCAGGTGATCCACCTGCCTTGGCCTCTCAAAGTGTTGGGATTACAGGCGTGAGCCACCATGCCTGGCCCACAGGTGATTCTTAAGCATGCTAAACTGAGAACCCCTGAGCTAGAGGATGCACAGGAAATGGGTAGTTCACAACTGGAAGGATCAGTAGTGGGTTATGCACCTAGATTGAATTTAGATTATCTCTCAATGATAAATTTGCCTGGGGACAATTTTTTCCTTATTGGCAAATGAAATAGGACAAATTATAATAAATAATAAGTTTCTGGGTAGAGAAGACACAGACAGGGAAATCAAGCTGGATACAGAGAGCATTTTTAAGAATGGAGAGATTATGGTGCAATGAAGCAAAAACAGCAGTAGGAAAACTACAGAAGGATGAACAATGGCAAGAAAGGCAGCCACAGAAGGTGCAGTGAGTAGGGCTAAAGGCCTTGGGGCATGCAGAGAAAACTCTGTAAATACAGATAATATGTTTAGAGACAACAAAAGGTTGTTTGCATTAATCACTTTCCATCATCAGTCTCTGGGCCCTTTCGTTGCCATATTTACCATTTGTTCTGTGGATTATGGCCGTTTCTGAGCCAGGAGTAGAGGAAGCAGAGCTGGGGAGGACCAGAGCTGGGGAATTCATCGCAACATCCCGGACTGGAGGGGACACAGCTGAATCTAGGCGGTAAAGGCAACCACAGTTTTCAGGAGCCCTGGAACCCCCTGCACGAGAAGCACATGCACACCTAACCGTCCCCACTGAGGTCTAATTTTCACCAAGACATTCGAGATAAATTTTTTCCACAATAGCAAACTCACACTAGGGTTGAGTGGAAGCAAACATGGCTGTAACAAGTCTATTCACTTAACTTCTTTGAGCCTCAGTTTCCTTTTATATAAAATAAGGATGATAACACTTACCTAGTGGAGTTAGCAGATGCTTAAATGAAATTGCATATACGGTATGGCTAGCTCAGGGTCTAACAGCTGCAGACCTGAGAAATACCAACAGCAGAATCCCATAAGGTGCTGGTTAAAAAAGCTGTAGAGCTAAGGCCTGTGAATCTACATTTTACTTAAGTTCCACAGGTGATTTTTTTTTTTTTTTTTTTTTTTTTGAGACAGAGTCTTACTCTGTTGCCAGGCTTGTGTGCAGTGGTGAGATCTCAGCTCACTGCAAACTCCACCTCCTGGGTTCAAACAATTCTGCTGCCTCAGCCTCCCGAGTAGCTGGGACTACAGGCACACACCATCATGCCCAGCTAATTTTTGTATTTTTAGTAGTGAAGGGGTTTCACCATGCTGGCCAGGCTGGTCTTGAACTCCTGACCTCAGGTGATCCACCCGCCTTGGCCTCCCAAAGTGTTGGGATTACAGGCGTGAGCCACCATGCCTAGCCCACATGCTGGGCTAAGCATGCTAAACTGAGAACCCCTGGGCTACAGGATGCACAGGAAATGGGTAATTCACAACTTGAAGGATCAGCAGTGGGCTATGCACCTAGATTGAATTTCTCAGAATCCAGGAGTCTTGGAATCTAGATCAGAGCTTCTCTGGTGTGTTTCTAGGAGGAAAATAGGACACAGGATACAGACAGACAATTTATGAGACAGTTTCTCAATAAAGAAAAAGGGGATAGGCATTTTACCAAAACTGGGATGTGAAGGGGGATAAAGAGGGCACATGTGTATATGGAAAAGAATATTTAATATTATGTTCTAACTTCACGTTAAAAAAAAACCCTGATGTTTCTAAATACAAACAAATAAAAGAAAAACTCAACAAAACCTTGACAGGAGGAACAATACATTAGATTCTACCTTCTACAGTATCAGTGATTCTGTAGGTTGGGTGGAGGGTTGAACAAATCAGAGTTTCAGGTTAGTAACAAAGGAAAATAATCCACAGGGATATCTACAGATGGTTTGATTGTAGGTTCAACAATAGAATCAAAAGAGATGTACTGTTCTTACCTATGACAACTCAATTAAGTTTACACATACAAAAATTTAAGTAAAATAATATGCTTTAAGTAGAACTTAAGGAAAAAGTTATTATGATAATTCAGAGCAAAAGAATCAGCATTAGAACAACCACAAGAATTTTTTAAAAATTGTTTGACAAAGTGTATAGTATAGAAACGAGGTTTAGATGTTAGAAATTGGGAGCCACAGACTATTATGCAACCTTGAGCAAGTCACTTGAAACTTTCTAGGCCTGAGTTTCCTCAGCTATGAAACAAGGACATGAGGCTAGATGCCTAGGTCCCTTTCAAAGTGCTAACATTATTCGAGGAAGATTAAGTGGCAGGTAAGATGCAGGGAAACAACAGGGCATGATTTAGAAGTTGGACAGTTGTACTCTAAACAGGCAGTGATGATTGTAGTCCTGGGAGTGAATGAATAAATGGATCAGCCCTACAGTATCAGCATGTTCTCCAAGTATCTTTTGTCAAAAAGCTATCAAAGACAGAGTGGCCAGTCTAACCAGTGAATGAGCTATCTGCTATTTTTGTAAAATTACTAAAGCATCAGAGATGATTAAAATTGATGTTCTATGATTCAGGGACTTATGAACAAGAGCTGAGAGGTGAGGGAGGGGCCTCTACAGAAACCCTCCGGCAGGGAGCGGTGGCTCACACCTATAATCCCAGAGGCCAAGGCGGGGGGATCGCGAGGTAAGGAGATTGAGACCATTCTGGCTAACATGGTGAAGCCCTGTCTCTAGTAAAAAAACAAAAAAAAAAAAAAAAAGAAAAATTAGCCCGGCGTAGCAGTGGGCGCCTGTAGTCCCAGCTACTCAGGAGGCTGAGGCAAGAGAATGGCATGAACCCGAGAGGCGGAGCTTGCAGTGAGCCAAGATCTCGCCACTGCACTCCAGCCTGGGCGACAGAGCGAGACTCTGCCTCAAAAAAAAAAAAAAAAAAAAATCCTCCTCCTTCGTGGACTGTTCTGGTTCTCTATACAGCAGTGAAACATAGTAGATAGCAGGGATTCCTTATATGTTTCAGTCAATTAAAAAGAGCAATACTGGTCATGTAACAAGGAGTTTTCCACCATGACTGTCATATGTATAACTGGCAGATGCACAATAATAGTGGGCATTGTTATACTGAATTAAGACCAGGATTATTTGAATAACAGAAAGTGATTACCATTAGCCAATATTACTTACTTTTATCTAAATAATTTGTAGAAATATTAATGCATTTCTGCCTGGGATACGGACCAAGTAGCCCCTTGTCACACGGATGCCTTGGCTGCAGCAAGGCGAGGCCCTTGGCTGTGGTGCTTCATGACCCACAAGGTCCCCTTCTCTGGGAAGAACGTCTTACCTGATGTGGGACACTGAGGAGAATCCTGCTTCCTCAATTTGAGCCTTTAGCTCCTTCAGTTCCTCCTCAGCTTTCCTCTTCTCTTCTAAGTGCTGGTGGATCTCAGCCCTCAGGTGGAGTATTTCTTCCTGAAGACACTTGTTACTGTCCCCTCCCATCGGGGAAGGGGGGAAAAAGATGGGTTCTGGGTCTCCACAGTTGCCAGACTTTTCTCCAAAGCCACCTTGACAAGCTAAAGGAAAATCATGGTTTGAAGAAGTTAGGCCATTAAAGAGGACCCAAGAGAAACATGAGATTGCAAAGGCAGTTCTCAGTGTGAACAAAAACAAACAAAAAAAGCAGATCTAAAATGAACTCCCTACCCAGAACCTCCTTAGTCAGGCATAAAGACACTGGGGACTGGTTTGGGTGGGAAGGACACACCAAATGAGCAGGAGGAATTTCCCCATGGAGAAGAGGAGAATCCAGAGATGGTGAGGGAGAAAAGCACATAAGAAATTAAAACAAATGCAAACAAACAAGGTTGAAACAGTACTGGAGGGTGTGAATGTGGTGATTCTTCTCTTCCCGAGGAGACAGAGTCCTGCGAGTTTTCTCACAAGTCAGGAAGCTTCATCAGCTCTGCAACGCTTGAGTGCTGGATGGCGGGATATGACGGCTTAAGGTATCAGGGTGCAGAACCTAAGGCCCTGCCTGTAACTCTGACTCCCTCAAGGACAGCTGAGAGGGAGGACTCGGGGCACTGGGGAAACAGTCAGCAGACATAGTCATAGAATTAGAATAAGGTGGAGCTACAGGGAAGACAACACCAACCATTTCATTGGCAGCAGAAGAATCACACACTGCAGCTACTGGGAGGTACAGGTGGAGCCACCCTGCCAAGCAGCCGACTTCACTTTTTGGTTATTATCCTTATGCCAATGCTGCCAGACAAACTCTCTCTACAAATCTCAGCATGTGGAAGAAACAGAGGGAGGAACAATTGCCCAGCACCTTTCTATTTCTCGAGGACACTCTTGAAGTTATTCGTCAATGTTTTAATTAAAGCAGATCTTATGGCTTTTCCTCAAATGCAAATTTGTTAACTTTTAGACTTTGTTTTGTTCATTTTGGGCTTATCTTTGGTCTTTTCCCATGCTCTTAAAAGTGTAGAAATCAAAATCTGAGTATGATAATTTACTTAGCATATGACTAATTACTTTAGTACAGGGAGCTCCTGCCTGTCTGTCCAATATTAATCTAAATACGTCCCAATGTCACATTGGCTTCTTTTTCTTCTCAGTGGCAGCATCTGGAGCTTTTACTTAACTTCAGGTCAATTTTGACCTCTGAATTTTCCGCCCCTCCCCCACAGCTGTTGCTGGGTCGTGTTGTTTTGTTTTATCTCTATACATATTATGACTTGTAATTGTCACTTATAAATTTATTCTGGCTATACTGAATCATTCCCCAATTACCCAAGTCATCCAAATATTTGACGTGCATTTCCACAAATCATGTAGTGGCCCCATGATTAATTTGTTTAATTATAATTAATTTGTAGAATTAATTATATGGTTTTTTTTTTTTTTTTGAGATGGAGTCTTGCTCTGTCGCCCAGGCTGGAGTGCAGTGACGTGACCTCGGCTCACTGCAAGCTCCGCCTCCTGGGTTCACGCCATTCTCCTGCCTCAGCCTCCCGAGTAGCTGGGACTACAGGCACCCGTCACCACGCCCCGCTAATTTTTTGCATTTTTAGTAGAGACGAGGTTTCACCATGTTAGCCAGGATGGTCTTGATCTCCTGACCTTGTGATCTGCCCGCCTCGGCCTCCCGAAGTGCTGGGATTACAGGCGTGAGCCACCGCGCCCGGCCAATTATATGCTTTATATTTCCATTCAGGTCACCAATACATTGAACAGAGCAGGGCTGAGAACAGCTTATATGGATCAACGATTGACAGAGCTGCTGGGGTTGGCGCAAAGCCACTGACTTTTACTATTCCCCATAACAAAGTATGTTCAAATCTAGGTCACAGGTTTGTGGCAGGGTTGATTCACAGTATGCATGTGCAATGGTGTTCAGCAGCATAGCAGTTGAGGTTGTGAAGACCTGTGCACCTTTGTCTAAGGATGTTTCAATTCCCAGGCACCCAATTTTACTTGGGCTTTCTGAGCCTGAGATTTGGCAGGCTCCTGGGAATGTCTGTCTCTAAGACTCTGCTGGTAGGCTTAATCAGGATGGTGGCCATCTCCACATGCGCCCCCCCAGCACTTGTGACAAAATAAAGGAAGGGGGACCAAATAAAACTACTTCTGAAAGCTCATGATTCCATCCCTCATTTAAACTGTGTGATGTAGTCATTCTATATAAGCTCTTTGCAAGTAACTTAACTAAAACACACTTTGCCATTAGTCTTCAGTACGGGCACAGCATTATTCTTTTCTAGGCCTTAAGGGTTCCTTCTGCTTAAAAATAATGTCTAACTTTAATGAAGTTTACCCATTATTAAAATGCCTTCTGAATATATGTTATCTTGTTCTATTGATTTCAATATACCTATTTTCTTTAAAAAGAAAAAATTATGAACCATGAATGTTAACACCAGAAAAACCTTAAGGCACATCTGATCGAATTTCCCACTTTAAAGTGAGAAAATCAAACATTGCCTAGGGATCTGATTTTTCCCCAGGCTAATTTGGGTTTTCATATTTCCATCTCAAAGTGGACTTTCTTTGGCTAACTTTAAGTTTTAAATGTAAATGCCTGAAAAGTAACTCAGGATCTAGCCTTTTCATTAGTTTTGATTATGTATGAAAGCAAATATTTCTTTCCCCCAAATGAAACCCCAGGGCTTCCAGTATCTGTAATGGTAGTGTGAATCCATTAGGTCTATTTTTAATTATATCTCTCTTATTATTTGTTTGTTTGTTTGTTTTTTCACATTTCCTAACTCACTTGTGACATTGCTTCCATATAATTCAACTTTTTGTGCCCTGGGTTCCCATTTGCCCCACAAAGGCCTCTGTGCAAATCTGATATCCTGTTTGAATGACACTGTTTTGTTTTTACCCTATTGCTTCATATCTGTCACAATGTTAAGTCAGTGCTCAACATTAAGGCATTAAAAATGAGCTTTTCTCAAATGCTCAGCATCACTAATCATTAGGGAAGTGCAAACTAAAACCATAATGAATATTATCTCACACCTGTTAGAGTGGCATTATCAGAAAGGTGAATGATGTGTTAGAGATAATGCAGAGAAAAGGGAACACACACATTGTGAATAGGTATGTAAATTAGTACAGCTGGTGTGGAAAACAGTATGGAGTTTCCTCAAAAACCTAAAAATAGAATCTACCCTATGATCCAGTAATCCCATTTCTGGGTATATATCCAAAGGAACTGAAATGAATGTGTTAAAGGTATATCTGCACTCTCATGTTCATTACAGCATTATTCAAAATAGTCAAGATGTAGAACCAACCTAGGTCCATCAGTAGATAAATGGGTAAAGAAAATGTGGCAGATAATACACAATGGAATACTATTTAAATTAAAATGTCAGGGGATAGGTCCTGTCATTTGTGACAACAAGAATGAATCTGAAAGTCATTATGCTTAGTGAAATAAGCCACGCACAGAGAGACACATACCACATAAGCTTACCTATATGTGGAATCTAATAAAGTTGAACTCATAGAAGCTGAGAGTAGAATGGTGGTTATTAGAGGCTGGTGGAGTGGGGAGGGAGAGTAGGGGAAATTGTTGATCAACGGTATCGACAAAAAGAATAGGTCTTAAGATATATTACATAGCAGGGTGACTATAGCCAATAATAATGTATATTTCAAAATAAGAGTAAATTTCCAATGTCTCACCATCAAAAATGATAGGTAGGCAAGTTGATGAATATGTAATTAGCTTGGTTTAATCATTCCATATTGTTTGTATGTGTATATATGTGTGTGTGTGTGTATATATATAATAATAATATCATACCCCATAAATGTATACAATTATGATTTGTCAATCAAAAATAACTAATTTTTAAAATAGCTTTTTTGAAGTTTATCACACTTTGACTACTAATGTCTGTTCTTTGTATTTGAATCTTGATTTTTTTTCTTTAAGAGGTAGGGGTCTCATTATGTTGCCCAGGCTGGCCCTGAACTCCTGGGCTCAAGAGATTCTCTTGCTTCAGCCTCCTGAGTAGCTGCAACTATAGATGCACACTACCTGGGCTTGAATCTTTATTCTTGATTAATTTTTTCTCCATTACAAAAGTTCACATAAAAATGCAATGGTTGATTACTCTAGTTTCTTTCACAGCAATTTCATACATATTTATGATAGATCTTACATCTGCGTGAGAATAGAATTTTGTGGGAGATAATCTAGGGAAAATTACTATCATGGCCAGACTTGAGGCTTCCTGAGGTGGCTGAGTCCAAAAAGTAAGGAGCAAGCAACTTGCATTGGCCAAAAGGTGATTCTCACCTTGGAAGAAAGACAAGGTTGGATGTGTCTGTTCGGGAAAGTGTATGAATGCTTGGAGTAGGAAGGGAGCTTGGTGTCAAGCAAAAGTTTACCTTCCAAGGACGTAACAAGGAGAAGCTCAAAATCTACCTTAAGGGGCCACTTCCCTGGAAACAAGCAAACAAATTTTGAGAATCTGGACACAAAACAGTTATGGCAAAGAAAGCTTTATTTAGCTGGTAGCAGGAGAGTCACAACCTCAAACTCCAGAAAAGATGAAGTAAATTTGCAATGATTTCATACCCCAAGATTCCTCCTACCCAAAGCTGAAGATATATTTTCGAGGAAAGGCGATAGAAAGAAAAATGGTGCTTACCCAAGAGATTCTTCCATCCAGCAGGTACATACTTTGTCTATCATGAGTCAAGCCCTGATCCAAAGGCTTGTTAACTCATAATTACACTAAGCATGTCTCCTATGCCAAGTAATGTGGCAAGTATTGTGAGGGAAATACAAATGCCCTAATGTAAAATGTTCATTCCAGGGTGGACTGACCTTCTCAAAATGGGGTCTGGTCAGATTCTCCATTCTAGGCTACAGGAAAGAAGGCTGAAGAAGAAGCAACTTTACAACTCAGTTTGCCTACAGTTGAGAATTAGAGCAAATGACTTGCAATACCAGGAGTACTTCAGACCATATCAATCAGAATCTGACTGTCTTCATATCTGTGTCTCCTGTTCATTTATTCTGAAGTTAGTCCTGTCCCACAGTCAT